TCATAGTAGGCTATTTTCAAAAAAATATCATTTTTATACTTATATTAGCATACTTAATCATTTATAATACCCAGATATGTTTTAAAATGCAATTTAAAGCATTTTTGGTTTTGATCATAGTAGGCTATTTTCAAAAAAATATCAATTTTATACTTATATTAGCATACTTAATCATTTATAATACCCAGATATGTTTTAAAATGCAATTTAAAGCATTTTTGGTTTTGATCATAGTAGGCTATTTTCAAAAAAATATCATTTTTATACTTATATTAGCATACTTAATCATTTATAATACCCAGATATGTTTTAAAATGCAATTTAAAGCGTTTTTGGTTTTGATCATAGTAGGCTATTTTCAAAAAAATATCAATTTTATATCTATATTAGCATTCTTTATCATTAATAATACCCAGATATGTTTTAATATGCAATTTAAAGCATTTTTGGTTTTGATCATAGTAGGCTATTTTCAAAAAAATATCAATTTTATATCTATATTAGCATTCGTTATCATTTATAATACCCAGATATGTTTTAATATGCAATTTAAAGAGTTTTTGGTTTTGATCATAGTAGGCTTTTTTCAAAAAAATATCAATTTTATATCTATATTAGCATTCTTTATCTTTTATAATACCCAGATATGTTTTAAAATGCAATTTAAAGCATTTTTGGTTTTGATCATAGTAGGCTATTTTCAAAAAAATATCAATTTTATACCTATATTAGCATTCTTTATCTTTTATAATACCCAGATATGTTTTAAAATGCAATTTAAAGCGTTTTTGGTTTTGATCATAGTAGGCTATTTTCAAAAAAATATCAATTTTATATCTATATTAGCATTCTTTATCATTTATAATACCCAGATATGTTTTAATATGCAATTTAAAGCATTTTTGGTTTTGATCATAGTAGGCTATTTTCAAAAAAATATCAATTTTATACCTATATTAGCATTCTTTATCATTTATAATACCCAGATATGTTTTAATATGCAATTTAAAGCATTTTTGGTTTTGATCATAGTAGGCTATTTTCAAAAAAATATCAATTTTATACCTATATTAGCATTCTTTATCATTTATAATACCCAGATATGTTTTAAAATGCAATTTAAAGCGTTTTTGGTTTTGATCATAGTTGGTTTTTTTCAAAAAAATATCAATTTTATACCTATATTAGCATTCTTTATCTTTTATAATACCCAGATATGTTTTAAAATGCAATTTAAAGCATTTTTGGTTTTGATCATAGTAGGCTATTTTCAAAAAAATATCAATTTTATACCTATATTAGCATTCTTTATCATTTATAATACCCAGATATGTTTTAATATGCAATTTAAAGCATTTTTGGTTTTGATCATAGTAGGCTATTTTCAAAAAAATATCAATTTTATACCTATATTAGCATTCTTTATCATTTATAATACCCAGATATGTTTTAAAATGCAATTTAAAGCATTTTTGGTTTTGATTATAGAAGGCTATTTTCAAAAAAATATCAATTTTATACCTATATTAGCATTCTTTATCTTTTATAATACCCAGATATGTTTTAAAATGCAATTTAAAGCGTTTTTGGTTTTGATCATAGCAGGCTTTTTTCAAAAAAATATCAGTTTTATATCTATATTAGCATTCTTTATCTTTTATAATACCCAGATATGTTTTAAAATGCAATTTAAAGCATTTTTGGTTTTGATCATAATAGACTATTTTCAAAAAAATATCAATTTTATATCTATATTAGCATTCTTTATCATTTATAATACCCAGATATGTTTTAAAATGCAATTTAAAGCGTTTTTGGTTTTGATCATAGTAGGCTATTTTCAAAAAAATATCAATTTTATACCTATATTAGCATTCTTTATCATTTATAATACCCAGATATGTTTTAAAATGCAATTTAAAGCATTTTTGGTTTTGATCATAGTAGGCTATTTTCAAAAAAATATCAATTTTATATCTATATTAGCATTCCTTATCTTTTATAATACCCAGATATGTTTTAAAATGCAATTTAAAGCATTTTTGGTTTTGATCATAGTAGGCTATTTTCAAAAAAATATCAATTTTATATCTATATTAGCATTCTTTATCATTTATAATACCCAGATATGTTTTAAAATGCAATTTAAAGCATTTTTGGTTTTGATCATAGTAGGCTATTTTCAAAAAAATATCAATTTTATATCTATATTAGCATTCTTTATCTTTTATAATACCCAGATATGTTTTAAAATGCAATTTAAAGCATTTTTGGTTTTGATCATAGTAGGCTATTTTCAAAAAAATATCAATTTTATATCTATATTAGCATTCTTTATCATTTATAATACCCAGATATGTTTTAAAATGCAATTTAAAGCATTTTTGGTTTTGATCATAGTAGGCTATTTTCAAAAAAATATCAATTTTATATCTATATTAGCATTCTTTATCATTTATAATACCCAGATATGTTTTAAAATGCAATTTAAAGCATTTTTGGTTTTGATCATAGTAGGCTATTTTCAAACGAATATCAATTTTATATCTATATTAGCATTCTTTATCATTTATAATACCCAGATATGTTTTAAAATGCAATTTAAAGCATTTTTGGTTTTGATCATAGTAGGCTATTTTCAAAAAAATATCAATTTTATATCTATATTAGCATTCTTTATCATTTATAATACCCAGATATGTTTTAAAATGCAATTTAAAGCGTTTTTGGTTTTGATCATAGTAGGTTTTTTTCAAAAAAATATCAATTTTATATCTATATTAGCATTCTTTATCATTTATAATACCCAGATATGTTTTAAAATGCAATTTAAAGCATTTTTGGTTTTGATCATAGTAGGCTATTTTCAAAAAAATATCAATTTTATATCTATATTAGCATTTTTTATCATTTATAATACCCAGAAATGTTTTAAAATGCAATTTAAAGCATTTTTGGTTTTGATCATAGTAGGCTATTTTCAAAAAAATATCAATTTTATATCTATATTAGCATTCTTTATCATTTATAATACCCAGATATGTTTTAAAATGCAATTTAAAGCGTTTTTGGTTTTGATCATAGTAGGCTATTTTCAAAAAAATATCAATTTTATACCTATATTAGCATTCTTTATCATTTATAATACCCAGATATGTTTTAAAATGCAATTTAAAGCATTTTTGGTTTTGATCATAGTAGGCTATTTTCAAAAAAATATCAATTTTATATCTATATTAGCATTCTTTATCATTTATAATACCCAGATATGTTTTAAAATGCAATTTAAAGCATTTTTGGTTTTGATCATAGTAGGCTATTTTCAAAAAAATATCAATTTTATATCTATATTAGCATTCTTTATCATTTATAATACCCAGATATGTTTTAAAATGCAATTTAAAGCATTTTTGGTTTTGATCATAGTAGGCTATTTTCAAAAAAATATCAATTTTATATCTATATTAGCATTCTTTATCATTTATAATACCCAGATATGTTTTAAAATGCAATTTAAAGCGTTTTTGGTTTTGATCATAGTAGGCTATTTTCAAAAAAATATCAATTTTATATCTTTATTAGCATTCTTTATCATTTATTTTTTAATACTCATCAAACACTTCGAAATGATATATTTTCACATTGTTTAAACTTAACAAGTCACAATGGCTTCAAATAACATATTTCTTAGAGTTCATTTCCTCAAAAAATTCAATATATTTGAATAATTTTTTTTCCAATAATCCCAATAATCCCAAATAATCCCAAATAATCCCAAATAATCCCAAATAATCCCAAATAATCCCAAATAATCCCAATAGTCCCAATAATCCTGAATAATCCCAGCATATTTTTGAGTGTCCACGTTTTGGAAAAATATGGATATTCTATAAAGTATTTCGTAATCTGTAGCATGAATGTATTAAGAAAGTTATTGTTCTGCCACAAAAAATATAAAAATTTTTTTTTGAGACACAAAATATATATCATAACAACAAACGATGATAGTTTTAGACCAACATGCATGTTGTGTATTTTATATATTTTTTTCCCAATTTTGAAAGCACCTCAACAGTTTTGAAGCATCTAAACAGTTTACTGCTTATATTTAATCCGCACAAAGGGGCACTGCAAGAGTCGAAGTTATGTTGATTCTCTCATTTTATGAAACAAGTTGATGGGATTCTTGTAAGAGTACAAGGTTGTTTTGTCTTGTCTAATTAAAAAATCCCGTACAGTGGTAAAAGTTCTTATTAGACATTTAAAAACGATTCAATATAAACCATAAACGTGTGTATAATTGATAAAAAGTGTTAATAAATGCAGTTTCGTAAGAAACATAAGCATAAATAAAAAATCTTTTGTTGATGAAAATTTTTTCTTCAATTCGAGTGAGAATTTTTGATGAGCGAAAAATTCTTATACTCAATTATTGTGTAAAAGCGATGAGAGGGAAATCACGTTTTCGCTCACAAAGAGAAAATCTCCTCATGACATTCTGAAACAAAAACAAAACTCATACAAACTCAAACAAGTGAGACATGAAAATATTTACAGTATGTTAAAAAATTTGTGAATCGTAAGAGAGAAAAAATGTGATTTACGTGCTGATAAAAACACAAAAAAAAAATATTTTCTCTTCTTTTTCAGACAAAAAATAAACAAAATATTGTGAAAACTTGGAAAATTTAATTAACTGTGCTTTAGTTTATAACTTGTATGTTAACCTTATGTGTATGTGCAATAAATATTGTCTTCTTAATTTTGTGAGTGTAAAGACTCTCTTCAAAATATTAATACAATTAATTGAATACAAATACTGTTCATTACTTTAAAATAAATCATTAAATGTCTAAATCAATACTATTTATGGTTGTTACTTAAATATTTATTTTCATCTTAGTATTTAACCTTGATTAAAGTCACCGATGCATGAAATAAGTTTTTAGTATTAAGACTCAGCAGTGTATATTGGTGTATATTGTGTTAAAAAGATTAATTGTGCAATATGGTGTAAATTGACATAAACATCATTTTGTAATACTCATTTACTTCGCTTAGTGTGAAATTCAATAAAGAAAGAAATACAGTAAAAGGAGTTATAAATCTTTTTTAAAACATGGGTGCTAAAAAAGCTCCATCGACTTCAACAAAACAACAAAACAATTCCGCTGGTGTTGTGAAAAAAGTTACCACAGCAAAACAGAGAGAAATTGATATTAAAACTTTAAAAGAGAAAGAAAAGTTGAATTTGACGTCGGCTGATGCCAAAAAATTAGTATCTGACATTAAAGTAGTGGCGTCAACAAGTAACAGTAATAAGAAAACATCAACAAAACAAATAGTTAATAATGTGAAGGTAATATCGACAAATAAGGAAGCTATCAAAAAATCTCAAAATATGACAACCGGAGTTGTTAAAAACAATAAGAGTCGAGATAATTCAAAGGATAATAGCGATAAAAATAACATAGCCAAGAAGCAGCAACAAATAGCATCACCAGTAAAAACAACAACATCAACAACATTAAATAATATTAAAGTGAATAAAACTCTTAACGGAGAACATGAAAAATCAAATGAAAATAAATCAAATCATATCATTAAGGATAACAAGATAAATGTCAAAAATGAAGATGTGAAATCAAATACTAATTTGAATTGCATTGAAGAGAATAAAAAGGATACAGAGAAATCTATCACAAATCTCTTATCGATTAAATCAACATGTGAGAATGCAATGACATCAAAAGTTAAATTAAATAAAAAAGATGGTGATAAGAGCAGTAAATTAAGTGCATCAACGATTACTAATTTAAAGAAAGTGAACAATAAAAGCGAAGAAAAGAATAGTAAAAAGAATGCTGACAAAACAAAATCAAAAGTTCTTAAAAAGGAAACGTTGAACAATGAGAAGGATAATAAGTTGAAAATATCGAATGAACTGAAGAACTTGGGAATTGAGATGACAACATCAAATTCATCCTTCGACAGTATTCAAGAGGGTTTATCAAGTGATTTAAAGACATCCATTTGTGAAATGGTAAAACTCAAAAAAGCGAGACATTGTCCAAATTCAGCAAATAACACTTTACAGCAAACCAAGTGTTCGACTCAATCAACTGCAAACTATGTTACTGACATGTATGTTAAAAGTCAAGAGAGGGTAGAAGCTAAAGATTCTCAGGAAAAAGCTGTAAAAAAGAATGAGCCAAAATCAAAAACTTTAGAAAAATCAACATTAAATGTGCAATTGAAATCAAAAGAAAAAGAGGAGAAGAAATGTGATGACATAGAAAAATCCAAAGATGAAAATACTCATACTGATAGTTTACAAAAGTCAGGAGAAAAGAAAATAATAGATGAAAGTAAAAATATTGAAACAACAAACAAATTTAATAATTCAGAAAATATGAAGCCTGTAAAAAGAAAATACATCAAAAAGAAAAAAACGGAAAATGAGTCAGAGAACAAGGTTATTGATGATGAAACTAAGGAAAGTGACGGAACAAGAAATTCTGAGAAACCAAGTGAAAATAAATCGAATTTATTAAATATATCTAGCACAAAATTTATTGATATTGAGAAGAAATCAAATATTGAATCCAAAGAAGAGATAAAGGATGATAAAGCTTTGGAAACTGAAAAGAACAATAAGAATAAAGATGTGAAAAATGAATCAAATGAAAAGTCTATTGCAAAGATTCAAAAGCAAACAAATAAATCAAGTGAAAGTTTAAATGCTTCCACTCCTAAAAAGATTAAAAGTCTAGAAAATGTTTCTAGAAAAGTTAATAGTATTAGCATAAATCGTAGCACTGAAAATGTTAGTAAAGAAATCAAAAGAAAATATACTAAGAAAGGTAACTCTACCACTCAACAGTATAATCAATCAAACTCTGTCGATAATTCTTCAAATAATCAATCAATAAATGTTGACTTGAATAATAAAAAAACGGAAATTGTCAAAAATTTGACTACAAATTCTCAAAAAGAAAAATCTCAAAATGCTTTTGAAAAACCGACGAAAGATACTGCCACTAATATTAAGGATAATATAACTAAGGAGAACCAGCAAACCGTTAAAAATAATGAGTCTAAAAAAGTAGACACTAAGAAATCTTCTGACAGTGTGAATAAATCACATCCGAATAAAAATAACAATGCGAAAGTAAAAGTGGAGGGAAAGAAGTTCACAGTAAATCAGAAAAAGGAAAAGGCAACCTCTTCAAAAAAGAAAAAGCATGATATTGAAGAAAAAGATCCTCTTCGCATAAGTACAAGTGAGAGTGAAAGTTCTTCAGAAAATTCTGATTCTGATATGGAACTGTCAGATGACATTTTTAAAAAACCCTTGAAGCCAAAAAGTCAACAAGCAAATCGTAATAAAAATGTAAAACAGATTGAAGTCATTAAACAAACACGAGTCGCATCACTGAATGCCATTGCAAAAGTACATTGTTTATATGAGAACGAAGCGCGTTCACATTATGATTCTGCTTTTTTTAAAAACACTAAGAAACCAACTACTATCATATGTAAAGTATCAAGTGAAGATGAAGACGATGAAAGTGATAGTAAAGAAACAGAATGTACTCAAAAGCGGTAAATGTTTACAAAATTGAATGAAATAACAGCAAAAAATATCAAAGTGCTCATAAACTTATGTTTGTTTTAATAAACTTTTTTCATTGTATCAACAGGTCATTACGAACAGCACCAGGCCTACGTGCAATCGGAAAACATTGGGAAATGGATAGTATGAGTTCGGATATTGATTCTGATTCAGACATATCTCAAAAAGCTGTGAGTATTTGCATTCGAACATTTTTTTTTCTCTTGAATATAAATATGTGGGAAATTGTTGCACAGTTAAACACATTTAAAGAATGTGATTATTTTTATGAGTTTTATTTTTTTTATGAATTGATTAAATTAAAATTTTAATTTCGTAAATATTGTTTATAATAAATAAAAAAATTCTCTAAAATCAAATCAGGTTAAAGGAACAAAAAAATCTAAATCAATGACAAAAACTTCTTCATTGAAAGCACAAGAAGCAAAACAGCGATCCAAACAAGGTTTAAAATTAAATTCTAAAATGAAAAATCAAATTAGGAAAACATTCAAACAATCTCCAAAAACAATAAAGGCTTCCGACCATTTACAAAGAGACTCTGATAAAGATACTGAAAGGAAAAAACAAAAAGTTTCTCCTGTGTCAAAAAAGCCGGCAGCTGTTGCAAAGAAATCGAACGGATCTATTAAGCGAAAGAAAGCAAAAGATGAGGACAAAAACAGCGAAAAGAATGTTGTAACAAAGAAGCGAATGGCAAGCTTGAATGCAAGTGCAATTTTGGCTGCGAGTTATGAGATTGAGAACTATGCCGCTAAGCATGATTCTTCGACAACGGAAACGTCCGAAGAAAGCGACAATGAAGAAGAGGATGAAAAAGAAGTGATTGAGCCACCAACGTTGAAAAAAGAAAAGAAAGATGTTAAAATGGAATCTACTGAGGAGGTATTTTGTTTTATTTCTTTTGTCTTGTTTATTTTCTTCACTACTCTTTTGACTTTTATGATCATCGTGTTTTGTATTTCTGAAATATATTCTCGACAGATTGTTATCACGCTCAAAGGACTTTAAGAAATAGTTTCAAATAGACAGTTCAAATGCTTATAATTAATTGTATACTTTTTTGATTAAAAAATTTTAGACACGTCCAAAATCGACAACAAATTTGGTGAAAATCGATACTGACGTGACCATTACTGGAGTTTATGTAAATACAGCATTGGTAAGCAGCCAAGAAACAATTTGCAAAACTCTTAAATATCGAACAGCATATAGTGTTACTGAAGAATGTGTCGTGTCTCGACCTCCCACACAAGAACCACCAAAATCATATACTCCTTTATCAGCACTAACAAATATGCGTCCACCTGGAGGACAAATTCAAACGGATCAATGTAAGTTGTTTTATATCAAAAAGTCAATAATAGAAAAAATAAACAATGAAAAATATTTTACGTTCTTAAAAAAGGTATGATTTCTCCATCTGAGCAATATCAACCCCAAATACCGCAACAGCCGCTTCAACCACAAATGTATGATCCACATATGGCACCATATCAATATCAATATCCACCTCCACCTCCAAGTCATCCGATGCCAAGTACATCAAGTGCATTTTATCCACCACAACCAGTTCACAGAGATCCAATGGGTGAGTGCAAAAAACTTGAAATGTTTTATGGCTTCATAATTGAATCATTTTGTATAACATTCTTAAGTGTTGAACAATTGAAATTCGATAGAAAAAGCGATTCCCTAGCAGAAATTTACTAGTAATTTCCTAGTAATTTACTGGATAACTTTCCATTTGCTACTTGCTATTTACTAGTCAAAATCCAAGTTCAAATCATCGCCAAAGACCCGCATTTTCACTTGCTAATTGACTAGTCAATTCGCTTACAATTTAACTAGTAATTTACTAGCAAATTTTTAAAAAATTTAAATGAATATAACCGTTAATTTCCACGTGTTCTATTGATTTTTCTTATTTGTGTAAATTATTGTTAAAGTATTAGTGTGTACTTAGCTAAAGTAAATTAAAGTACACTAACACTATGAAAAAAAATAAAAGACTTAATTTAATTAAGTCGAATACTGATGAACGCCCATGACTCGCACGCAAACCTGAGGAAGATAAATAATTAATTGAAAGTCACATACAAATTTGGATCGAGCTTATTATCGATTTCTGCGCGCTCTTGTGAAGTATATGGCAAATGCCAAATTTAGAACAAAATTTTTTATGACGCAAAAAATTCTTTTAATGACGCAAAAAATTCTTTTTATGACGCAAAAAATTCTTTTCATGACGCAAAAATTCTTTTTATGACGCAAAAAATTCTTTTTATGACGCAAAAAATTCTTTTTATGACGCAAGAAATTATTTTTATGACGCAAAATTTCTTTTTTTGATGATTTTTCGTAAGATTCGAACTTAATCAGATTTGATGAAACATTTCACATGGTAATTTGCTATTAAATTGCAAGTGTAATTTACTAATAGTAAGTTGTTTAAATAATAACTAGTAAATTGCAAGTAGTAGAATAGAAAGACTAGCAATTTGCTAGTTAGTCTCGCTAGGGATTGTATAAGAAACTTTTTCAGTTAAGTATAAAATAAGTTGATGATTGTGATCCCTATGAAAAAAATATAGTACTTTAGGTAGCACTGGTTTTTTAATTCCAAAATTGAAAAAATAAAGTATGAACAGAAGTAAATAATAAATAAACGCTATACAAACTAATATATGGCAAAATCATTTCACAACAAATTACATTGTGCTGCTGGGCTATTGAAAAATATCTTTTTCGATTTATCTAAAACTTTATTATATATTTTTTTTTGTCCCATCTTGCTATATTTGTACTTTATTTTTTGATGCCCAATGGCATTAAAATCTTATTTCGACTTAAAATGAGAAGAAAAATTCTTTTCCTTTACGTTTTCTTTTTCCAAAGAAAAAAAAAGCTGAATCAGATGAGATAGATGAGTAGAAAATCTTCTTATTGCTGATCTTTCTTCGTTTTATTTATATTTGTCAAAAAAAAGAAATCATGGCATTTATGCCTCTATGTCTTTTGATGTCTAAGAATTTTCAAAGAAAAAAAATGTATAAAAAATATTTGATATTTAATTTTCTTGAAATACTTTTCTTGTTCAGCGTTGATTGAAAATTTTGTCGGAAAAATGGAAATTTAATTTCCATGAATTGAAATTTCTAATTACAAAAGTTTGATCAAAATAAATCTTTTAATAATTAATTAATTTTCGGTAATTTATGCTGAAAAATCTTTTGATGTGATTCTGTAGAAATTTTTTAAAATTCCTAACCTTAACAAAAATTACTTCCAGTATTTAATTTTTTGATGAACTGAAAGCATTTATCTTCTACATATAACTTAATTATTTGACATGCTCATACTACTATATGTACACAGACCAAAAATAAAGAGAAAATTCACATGCATTTTAAATTACGAAATTATAAAATTTAATTCAGTTGAAACATTTTTTATGAATCTGAAAGCCACTTGTAAAGTTTCAGAAATTACTGAAACTCATATCAAAATGGTATTTTCTTTCATACAGCACGTTTTACTTTATTCTATGAAGTAAAACATTGACGTGGCATATATGCAGCTATGAATTCCCTTTTCCACAACTTGCGCTTTTTGTTGTTGAATGAAAATTAGTTTATTCTACTATGCACATTCATTCCTTCCTTTTTTTTATTCTGCTGATGAATGAACGTGAAACTATTATGCTCTGAGATTGTTGTAAGGTGTTGACATAAACCTTTAGTATTGCATATAATAATGACGATGAATGATGAAAAGGCTCATCTGTACTTTTATTCATTCAGTTCTTCCAAAACTATTGAAATCGTTTTTTTTTGTATGGTTGAACTTTAATATAGGGATATATTGTACAAAACATTAATTTAAATAACATGAAAGACGAAAGAATTAAGAATTTTTAACCATCTCGACGACTTGGCAGAATAAAACAAGAGTAATACATTGAAAGCTGAATAAACTGCCTTAAAATTTCAATGTAACCATCTCGATTACAAAAAATTATATGATGTCATTTATATCCATACATACCTCCCATTGTTGTCATCAGTTTATGAAGCATAAGGAAATAAGTAAAAACCATTATGTTCCAAATATTTTTGGAATTTTTCTCTTCATTTACTATGTTCTTTTACGTGGTGGTGCAGAAAGCTTTTAAGTAAAATTATTATTCGCGTATTATCTTATTTAACACACGTTTTGTATCTTTTGTTTTGTTGCCATGATATTTTAAATGATACAGACTGTCTTAATCAAGAAAACGGTGTTTCTTAAGTTACAGACTTTTCCTAGGAGTTTTTCCTTAGCAATTATAGAAATTATAAAAAATGTTTATTTCTATGAATCTTGAATGAACATTTAGTTCATATTAAGTTTAAGATATATTATCAATGAACTCGTTTATTCTAATAAGAGATAATGGCTATATTGCTATAATGAAAATAATGTTTAAGTAATTTAATGTTGTTATAATGGATATAAAATTTGCCAAGATCTACACGATTCATACGCTTTTGAGATACATTAATACAAGTATCATTTATAAACAGTTTTTTTGTGTTTTAACGCAATCATTGACCTTCTCAAAACTTATTCATCTTAAATTTTTTTCACATCTATTCTTAAACATTATGCTCGTTCTTTGTGGAAGCTAAAATTGATCTAAAAATTTGAAATCAATATTCACATAGAATGAAATGAATTTAAAAGAGAAGAAGAAAGATATGGAGCTTGCGTGTGTTTGACTTGACTTGTACCGAACAGAACCTATAAAGTGGAAAGTGTATAAAAATAAATTAATTTCCATCCACCCACAAGTACTATAACTGACAGAGATATGTATAAAATCTGTGATGTGCAAAAATTATTATTTTTTTTCTTCTCAATTTCTCTTCTTTTGATTTTTTCTACTAAAAAAATTCAAAGCAATATTCTCAAAATGAATAGGAAATGATAGATATTAATAGCTTTTTGCTGTCTGCTAAAAAAGGAAATCGATTTTTAAGAGAGGTTAAAGAAGAGAATAAAAACTGAATAATAATAATAATAATAGAAAAATCTATGATTCTTTTTTTGTTGGTTTGTGCTTTTGATTCTATGTATGCTTTACAAATTCCAATCCAAAGTTGTGAAAGTTTTGAGTGCTTATATTTTTTACGATGATTAATGTGAATTTAACCAACTTTAAATAGAAAAGCTTAAAATCGAATTAAGCATTTAATAAAATAAATTGCGATGCACATAAATTGATGAACCTAATAAACATTTCATTATTTTTTATTTAAGACACAGATAGGTTATCAATTTTAAAACAGAAGAAAAAAATTGTGGTTTTCTTGAATTACCATTTCGGTTTTAAATCAGATGTTTTAATAAAAAATAATTGATAAAATGACATTAATTTAAGTATGTGACATCTTTGAGATGCGGTCCGAAAAAAGAACCGAGGTCGTTTGAATGATGCGCGACTTTAGTGAAACAATTGCGATAAACATTTAAACTTATCCAAACAGCATGCATTGTTTTCCCACAAAAACTTTCCACTAGCTTTCATGCTAATTTGACGTGCAAAATGCAAACACAATTTCAATTAACATTTAAAATGTGAAAATTTTTCAACTAAAATCTGTTTCAATTCTTTTTGAATAGAAAATTGCAATTGACAACATTTAAAATCGATTAAATCTCATTACCAGACCTCCAAAGTTAAATACACATTTAATCTCGCTTTTCTCTCGTTTTTTTTTTATTTTTCTCTTCTGTTTGCGTTGTTTTTTTGCCATTCATTTGAAAAACTTATTAAATTGTCAATAGCGATAAAACAATTTTCCTTGTGTCTTTGGCACTTTTTTATATAAAAGGAAGTAAATGTGTAAATCTGTGAAGTGATCAAAGTGGAAAAGGAGAGGGATTGATAACGTGCTAAATACAGCAATGTGCAGTCAAAACTGAATGTAATTCACATAAATCAATTCAGCTCGATAAAAGCTGATCTGCATGTTGCAAGTATATCTTCTTCAATATATGTATGTGATGCTAAGTATGTGCATTTAGAATATCACAGGAAATATCAAATAATGTGTAATAAATTCTCATATTATTCAAATATGGCTTTCATCGATTGTATAAATATATACTTTAATTGTATGTAAACGAGTTAACGCATTACTAAGCATAAATCTCGAGGCATTAATTTTTAATTAATTCACAAGAGGCCACTTATTTGTGGTTAGTATGTATATAATTTTTTTTCTTGTTTTTTTGCGCACATTTATTTCTGTTTGATGAGCCTTACCGCACACATGATACAGTTAATATAAAATTTTAGTATATTTGGATATCTGTAACGAATAACAAACTGGAAATTCAAATTAAAACATTTTATGACCTTCATTTTGTATATTAAAATTTTACTCACTCATTTTGATATAATGGATGTTATTGAGATCGCAAGTAAAATTTTTATTAATTCCAGAATATTTGTAGTTAAGTTTTTAAATAGAAGGCAACTTTTAGGAATTAAATATTAATGTTATCAAAAAAGATAAAGTAAATATGAGCCGAACGCAAGGAATG